CGCTAGGATAATATACAGAAGACGCCACACCGTGCAGCCACCCACACCGGGACAACCCACAGAAGGTGTCATACCGTGCAGCCACCCTGCGTTGGGACAATGTACAGAAGGCGCCACACCGTGCAGCCACCCACACCGGGACAACCTATAGAAGGCGCTACGCCGCGCAGCCACCCGCACCGTGATGGCCTAGAGATAGAGATAGACAGAGAAACACTCGCGGACGAACACATCAATGGCAAATCATCCACGGCAGATCCGTATTGTGATATGAGTGGAGATTATGAATTTATGGCGGATATTGCGGTTCCCTGTATTCATATATTAAACAAACAACTGAGTGAGCCAGATATATCTCTTTCCAGCTCATGCTCGGCGTCACTCGTAGTGAACGGAAACTTTCACGCACCGCTTAGTTACGCCTTTAGCGGTCCGTCAGCAGGCCAGGAAATAGCCAGTTGTCCAATGGCCGCTACACCCGCACTAGCGTGAACTCCTCCCAAAGGCGTTACAAATTCACATTACCAAAAGTTACACCATATATCACGCCGCTATCGATACCATCATCACGACGCAAAAAATTAATGCATGAACGTATATCTTCCTCCACCGCATTTTCGATTAATCGCGTAGAACCAGAAGGCGGTTTGTCGGCACCAGTCCGCCCGCACAGAAGGCGCCGCACCGCGCAGCCGGGCACACACCCAGATGGCCCGCAGACAGGGAGGGAGGGAGGGAGGGAGAAACAAACGCTCACGAGCGCGGGCAGGGAAGACGAAGATAGATAGAGAACGTTGGCGGGCGGGGCCCAGGCGGGGGGGCACAGTGGCGTCTGACACAGCTCACGCCTTTGACGAAACGGCAGCCCCGGGAACCCAACCCCACCCCCGGAAACGGACTAAAATAAAAGAATCGGCAGGGAGCTGAGGGAGAAAAGGCCGGGACAGGGCAAAAGTCCATACGCAGGACAGGGACGGGCGCGATGGACGGCCCGGATCCCCCCTCCCCCTCGGCGGCCCCGCCCCCGCAGCCCGAGGAGGCATACGAGAGAAGAAAAACGAAAGAGGGGCGCAAAAGCGATAGAGCACTGCGCCCGCGCTGGCCCCCACCCCCGCCCCCGCCCCCGCCCCCGTTCCGCTTGTTTATTTATTTTCCTCACTCCCTGCCTCGGACTAGCACTCGACTGCTGCTCCTCCCTGCTCTGCTCCTCGCCTCTCCGTCCTCTCTGCCCGCTGTCCCAGCCACCTCTCCCCTCCCCTCCGCCCGAGCGGTGGTGGCGAGTGGCGACGCCCGCCTGCGACATCCCGCGAGGTTTGCGGTCCCTGCTTCTCCGTTCTGTTCCTGTTCTTGCTGCCGGTAGGATCGTGCTCGTGCCCGGCGATTCGGGCGCGGCGTTTCCGCTTCGTGGGTGGATCGACGGGGATGCTCGGGCGGGCGGGCGGTGGTTCTTGCTTCTTTGTCACCCGGGGTGGCGGATTCCGCGCCGGATTTTTCGAGGCTTTTGCTCGGGGGAGCGGAGCGGGGGTGGTGGCGCGGTCACGGGCGGGTCGGTAGGCCTTTTTTCTGTTCTTGTATTGTAGGCTCAGGTGCTTCCCTCCCTGGATTGTCCGGCGGCCTAGTTTTGGTAGCGATTAAGGCCGCCCGAAATGCCGAGTCCCACGCCCGCGTGCCCAATTCTGGCCTGCCGGGTCGGGGTATGATGGCGGAGAATCTCCTGCATCCGGCGGCTGCTGTTTCTTCCCAGGCCTCGGATGAAATCCATGGCGGTGGCAGTGCTCTTTATGGGGGGCGGAATGATTACAGCCATCGGCATATGTATATCTACGCATGCCTCTCCTGCGTTTTTCCACTGTGCAAAGCATATCCTCGTGCCGTGACGCCTGTTTTAGATATTTATTTCCCTGGAGAATCTTCTACCCGAGTCCAATTATTGCAGCGCAGGTGTTGAATCCTTTTTGATTCGAGATGCGTGTGTTCGAGCCGAGGGCTGAACAAGTTGTTGATTTGTGCGTGCGTGCGTGTGTGTGTGCAGGTAGGGGGAGGGAGTGAGCGATGGATGGCATGGTGGAATCCAACAGGGAGGCGGTGCAGAGCTGCCACAAGGTGCTGGACCTCCTCTCCAACCCCCATGGCCAGCTCGTCCCCCACAAGGACCTCCTGGAGGCCACGGGCGCCGCCGTCGCCAAGTTCGGCTCCCTAGCTTCCAAGATCGGCAACGGCAATGGTGGACGACAAGGCCATGCTAGGTTCAGACAAAGGATCAAGAAGCCCATGCCTCTCTTCGACAGCAACCTCTTCCGGGACAGCCCCGCGTCGGCTGCGGCTGCCGATGCTGCTGCTGCAGCACCACCCAAGACATCCAGTCCTGGCCCGAGCACCAGCCTCCAGCTGTTTCCGAGGTACCAGCAGATGGAGGCCTCCTCCTCCAAGGACCCTGTCAGGATCCCGGCAGCCCAGTTCCCCCAGAGGATGGTTGTGGAGAACCCGTCGGTCGGTTCGAACGGCCCGGCTCGCGGGCCGCCGCTCCACCTCGTCCAGCCGGTGTCTGTTGCGCCACCGGCGGGGACGCCGGCACCGGCATTGCCGGCGGCGCATCTCCATTTCATCCAGCAGCAGCAGAGCTACCAGAGGTTCCAGCTCATGCATCAGATGAAGCTGCAGAGCGAGATGATGAAGAGGGGCGGCCATGGTGATCATCAGGGTGGCAGCACTGGTGCTGGCAAGGGTGTCAACCTCAAGTTTGATGGCTCTAACTGTACGGGGTCATCCTCCCGTTCCTTCCTGACATCTCTGAGCATGGAGGGGAGCATGGCGAGCTTGGACGGCAGCCGCTCCAGCCGTCCCTTCCAGCTAGTTAGTGGCTCGCAGACGTCGAGCACCCCGGAGATGGGCCTCATGCAGCAGAGGAGGAGGTGTGCCGGCAAGGAGGATGGCAGTGGACGCTGTGCAACTGGGAGCAGGTGTCACTGTGCAAAGAAAAGGTTGGAATTCATTGTGATACATTTGGTATCTGACTACCGTTATTATGGTAAGTTTTATGTTTCTTAAATATATCATCCTTTATTTGCAAAATTGCAGGAAGCTAAGGATAAGGAGGTCGATCAAAGTCCCTGCAATCAGCAATAAGGTGGCCGACATCCCGGCTGATGAATTCTCGTGGCGGAAGTACGGCCAGAAGCCAATAAAGGGATCCCCGCATCCTAGGTATACCAAAATACTTGAATCATATTTATTTATCCCTTCATATACATTTGTCTGCGTATATAGTTGCATTGCACATGATGTCTGCTCTTGCTCTTTACTGGCTTTGTCATTTTGTTATGTTAGGAAACAAGTAACAGGTGGTTTAATTTTGTTTTGTTCAGAGTTAGAGCTTCCTTTTGTCCTTTTTTGTGTGTAAAACTAAGTGTACACCCACATCACTGGATGCATGATGTTCCAAAAAGTTTTCATCCACATGATTTTGGGTCACTTCAAAAGTTATAATCCTGAATTAATGGGGTGACAATTCTAACTTTTCTAAGGCTAGATTTTATCCCACAGCTGTTTAGGTAATAGATACCGCTTATAGCAAAGTGAGGTTCAGATATCCTTTCCAAAAGGGTTGCTTTTGTTTTCAATCAAGTCAGTGTAGTTTCATTCTCAAGTTTGCTATAAGCATACATGCAGTTAAAAGGAAACCTGTTCTAATTCTGGCAGTATGCCCATTGCAATCCAAGAAAGGTTACAGCTGACATCCTCTTCCCAGCACACTTAAGAAACCTGCTTTGTTCTTTCTTCAAACAGGCCACTTAAGAATGTACGTGTGTGCATCATTGTGTTGCAGGGGTTACTACAAGTGTAGCAGCGTGAGGGGCTGCCCGGCGAGGAAGCATGTCGAGAGGTGCGTCGACGACCCCGCGATGTTGATCGTTACCTACGAGGGCGATCACAACCACAACCGAGCTGCGGCAGCCCAGCCGCAGCCAGCCTGACCTTTCGGGCCTCCATCGTCGTCGCAGACCGCTTTCGATAGCCGCCGATTCTAGAAGAAGAGATAAAAAAAAGAAGATTGGAGAAAAAGAAGAAGAAGAAGAAGAGACTAGTCTGTACATACTCTTCTGTTCCTAACTGCTGAGGAGGGGGTGGGGGAGGATGGTGATTCAGCTCTTTCAGGAGAATCCATGGCGAAAGGGATTTGTCGCGTAGATTGTCGATTTAGTGGTGTTTCTCATCAATCAAACTCATAAATTTTGTAGAATTTTCCCCTCTTTTTTTTTTTTGCCCCTGTTGTCTCTGTGTCTGTTGGTCCTTAGGACTGTCCTGTGCTGTGCTGTGTAAGATTGAGCTGCAGTTATATGTCGGGGGTTGGTGTTACTGTAACCGTGCAAGGGGGTTGGAGAAGGCAGTGCCTGTTAAAGTTGCGACACCTAGGAACAAAATGTACCCCTCGTCTTTCGGTCAATTGGATTGGTGGATCGCCTGATACCTTTGACATGGGTTCCTGTTTGGCACAAGTGCTGTTTCCCTGGTGTCACTGCAGCTCTTTTGTTCTCAAGCATTTCATTTTGATGTGTACCCCTTTCTTGTTTTCTTGCATGCATGAATCGTCTGTGCTTCTTGGTACTAACAGTGCAAGGAAACTTGGTACTATATTTTTTCCGCTTGTGTAAATACATACATTCAATGCACTACCGCACAAGGTTATAATATAATATAATAAGTAATATAAGGAGCCGTCTATTTATCGGGTACTCCCTCCGTAAAAGAATATAAACGCGTTTAGATTACTACTTTAACATGTTTCATCAAAGGTCATTAGATCTTCATCCTACGGCTGAAAATAGACCGGGCACTATACAACTTCAAACTTCAACTTCTTTGTCCTCATCCAGCCGATGCCAACCCAGACCTAACCGCACGCCTCTGCCTCGCCGCCCAAACCTCCCCCCATTGCCATGCTGGGATATTTCACCAGAAACTTCGGCAGCATAACGTGTGGAGAAGAATCACAACATGCACAACGCCAGCATAATGTTAATCAAATGGTTGATTAACATTTTTGTATACATGATCAATACAATTCATCATTTCTTAATACATGGTCAATATTTTTATATACACATTTAACATTTTTAAATGATTGATTAACATTTTTCAAATACTTGTTCAACAACTTTTTCAAATTCTTGACCAACATTTTTATATACATAATCAATATTTTTTGAAATACTTGTTCAACATTTTTCAAATAGTGGTTCAACATTTTCTATTTGGATTGCTTCATTAACATTTTTATATACATGGTCAATATTTTTTTAAATATTTGTTCAACGTGTTGAAATAATTGTTCAATATTTTGCAAATACAAAGTATAATAATAAAATACAAAAATTAATCAAAAAACGAAATCAGAAAACATTAAAAAACGAGGAAAACGAGGCTCTGGCCTCTCGCGCGCCTGGGCCGGCCCAACGCGCCCTCCCCTTCAGCGAGCATTCCCTCGCTCTCGCAGAAAGCGAGAAATAGGGCGCCTGAGCAAACACACAGGTTAGCGCTCCCTCAGGCGCGTAGTGGGTTGGCCCATTTTGGTTGTCTAATTCATTTTTTTCTCAAAAAAATGCGTGCTATTTTAACAGAGGCTTGGAGCTATTGTTTTCAAAGACAATCTAAAATAATTTGTGCATAAATTCTAAAAAAGGTTCACAAATTCAGAAAATGATTTGGATTTTTTTAAAATGTTCCTAATTTTAAAACGTTCGAAACTTTAGAAAATGTTTGTGACTTTGTAAAAGGTTTCAAACGTCAAAAATTGTTCATTAACGAAAAATAATCCCAAATCTTAAGAAATTCCACGGAATAAAAACAGTTCTATGGATTTAATTATTTTTCCCAAAAATTCTATAAATTTTAGAACTTCACAAAAGTGATATTCTTTTTAAAACCCAAAGGCTCTGAATTTGAAAATCAAAAATGCAAAACCACCAAAAAAACTAGTAAAAAGATAAAATCAGTTGGGGCATGGTGAACCTTTCCCAAATCAGTGAAAAAACACCTAAAAAGGCATAAATGGACCGTCCCAATGCGATATAGCTTGCGAAGTGCTCGGGGGAATTTGTTTGTTATGCAATAACGAGAATAAAATAGGAAACAACCAGATAAGCAGGGGAGCAACTAATCAAAGGTTCCCGCAGAGGTTACTTTCTAGGCTCTGGGAGCACGCCAAGTGGTGCGCCCATACGCAACCACGTGTAGCATGCTGGGCGCACCCTTGGGATTTCAATTTTGATGCACGTGTTTTTTGTTCTTTTGAGGGTTGTATGGTTTTTAGGTTTTTGCTTGGTTTTTCCTCGGTTTTGGTGATATTTTTTTAAAGCTGTGCTTTTTCATGAGAAGCATAGTTGTACTTCCTGAAAAGGGAAAAAGCACAACCTGTACTTACACGAGAAGCATAATTGTACTTCTCAAAAAGGGAAAACAAAGTTCTGCTTCCACGAGAAGTCCAGGCACTGCTTCAACGAAAAGCACATTTGTGCTTTCTGAAGAGAAAAAAGCATAAATGTACTTCCTCAAAAAAGGCAAAAGCACAGCCTGTGCTTCCATGAACTGTGCTTTCCTAAAATGGGAAGTATAGTCTGTGCTTCCGCGAAAAGCACAATTGTGTTTCCGGGTTTAGTAATATTTTTCCTTATGGTTTTTCGATATTTTTCTAGTTTCATATTTTTCTGGGTTTTTCATCAAAAAAGTTCGTCAAAACCAATTAATATAGGATCTTGTTTTCAAGATTCTGACACGAAAAATTCCTTGATGATAACAACTCATGATTTGGACGCACGATTCAAGATATAAACCACTTTGAGAAAATGAATCTACGAAAAAGGTAAAATCTCCCAGGTTGCGAGAGGTGGCGCACATGCAATGCGCCACTTATCAGCACAAGAGAATGTGAGAGTGTCTTTTGCCATGGGTACCTCTTTATTAGTGATTTCTGGCAAGCAGTTGATTTCATTTGTAGCATCTCGGCCATTGGGGCCTTATTTATTAAGCAAGTAGAACCTAGTATTTACCTTCTTAGTTAAAGTATGGATGGATTTGAATGGGCCAAGGCGATTGCCTTTTGGGATTTCATACCTCCCAGTTCTTAAGTGGGAGGAGGGCTGCCCATCGGGCTATTCTACTTGGGACTCTTTATCGGATTTGGGGCGGGGTTAAGATCCGCCATAAGAAGTTATATTCAAATGACATTTTGATAGTTTCGTAATGTTATGTTTTGGACATGTAAAAATACAAACTTTTTTATAACATATCTGGAACAATGGTGATAAGTGAGTTTCAAATGCAACATATTATCAAAATTGTAGTACTACACTAGGGACAATAATATGCATGGCATTCATACATAATGGTCTATTGTACCATTTATGCACGTATAATTTGGTGTAGCTGAAAATGGGATGGTACATGATCAAGTCTTCCCATACACACCTCTAATAGAGGAATTCCCAATGGGATTGCGAGGAACATAGCCCCAGTAGCATCCCAATGTGGAAGGGAAGCCACCATCATATGAGGGAAATACAAATGGACAGGCCGCTAGCATAGCAGGAGTAAACTAAAACATATCTTTTGTATTATTTTAAAGAAAATGCAGATCTTTCGAATTATTAAAAAACATTAATAAAATATAAAAAATTATTACATATATTTTCTAGTTTTGAATTTTTCATACAATTTTGTTTTATTTCATTTATACCCCTTGCCATCCCGATGGGAGGGAAGCTGCCACCACCTGGGGGGCTACAAACATGCGTGGAGAAAATTTTACCTTTTATATTTTAAGGAAATGCATGTACTTTAAATAGTTGAAAATATTGTAATAAAGTGCTAAATTTAAAATATTATACTCCCTCTGATACAGATTAATTCTCATTGATTTACTACAATGCTTTTTCCAAAAAAGTATAGGTTGTACTAAATGGGAGTAGATTTATTTCATCTTTTGAAATTTATTCATGCAATTTGGAAGCTTTTGTCATGTATAGTATGTCAAATAGTATGCACGGTACAAGAGAAAAATATTATATAAACCACCAAAAAATGTGTAATTTATTTAGGGTACTAATTTGCAAATATCTAAGTATGCCAAAATAAACATCCATACCTATTTAAAAAACATTGACGATAGAAATTTTGCAAAAAAAGAAACAAGAAAATGGAAAAGGTGAATAAAAAACCTATTAAATGAGGCATTTAAGACAAGGTATTTAGCACTAACGCATGACACATTATTTATCGATTTTAAGAAGTGAATATTGGGTTGGCCGTTTTGGCTTTGGGGAGCATATGCTTCTGGATAAATAGCAAATTAAATAAATAGTAAATAAAATCTAAAATTTCCGAATTCTTTGTAGATATTCTTGTTAGTGTAGTAAGCTTGTTTGACAAATTTCATGAGAAACAGGATAGCAGTGCTTTGATGGTGGAAAAAATGTGTAACAATTGGAGGTAACATTTGGTGTTCGTCTTGTTTTCTTTTTTCTTTTGCATAGGTCAAAATATTTAATCTTTGCCCCTAAAAATTTGCAGGTAGCATTTGACTATGAAAATGAACGCATCTAAGTTTTTCAGATTTTTTTTAAACATTTGTAAAATGCATTTTTTTTATGTGCAGGAGCATAGGCTCCCAAGAGCCAAATTGGGTTTCCAGTTAATCCTCGTCCTTAAATGTAATAAATATACGATGGGTGCTGCTTGATCCCCCTTGTTTATGGAAATTTATGAATTTCAGGAAGTATCACATATATTTAGCATTGCTATTTTCACTCCTTATTAAATGAGCTGTATTAATATTAAACATAGGGCCTTGATCTATCACATTACCACCATATTATAGATATACAGTAATTCATACACAGTATCGGACCCGACATATATAACCACTGCTGTCTTGATCATGTCTACAGGAGCCTACACAAATGTAAAGGCAACGTGCATG